GTCTGCTCTCCGATTTTCTTTTCCATGACTCTTTTTTTTCCCCTGTTTTTTGCTTTTTGTGGGGCAAGCTGTCAGCGAAAATGCTGAAAAATGGCAAAATACCATTGATGAAAGTAAGCTGCTTGCTCGTGCCCGCATAAAAAAAGCATGGAACATGGAAGCCCAACCATGACGCATTGCAGTGCGCCACCAAAAAATCTAAGCAAGGCCGCTGCTGCAGAAAAAAATCACAAATCACAGACGCGAGTTATATTCCGGCTTAAAAAAAAAAGGCAAAGGGGAGAACATTAACCAACTGGTCGGGGCGTGTCGCCTCACAATATGCCAAAGTGAAAAGCTGTGTTAGCTCCGTGTTTTCCTGCCGCTCGCATCTTTTTCTGGGTGCCTTCTGCTGATTAATTGAGGAATGTGCCTCCCAGCCAGATGACAGTCAAAAGCCAGCTGCCCACCAACACAAACACAAAAAACAAACCACAAACGCATTGAAAGTCATTCGGAAAATGGGGAAAAACGTGAAAAAACTACCTGCAAGCTGTATGCTAATTAAAACTAATACACGCGGCGTATGCGTAATATTTCTGGAAAAGCAAGCAATAACAATGGTGAGTAGTTCGCGGAAAGGCCATTATTTTAAATAGCCAAGGCCTTGAACAAGTTTTGGGAGAATGGTGAGGTATAGCATACACTTTCCTTATAAAAATATCTAAAATATAAAAAACGTCTAAGTTTAAGGTATCCATGATGAAGGACTTCTCAATAAAATAGCTTACTTTTGGTACCAGCTTACTTTGGGCAATAAAGATGGCCTAACTTATTGTTTTACTATTTGTTTATCATTTGTTCTATCATTCGCATGACTTATTATTATACCATATTTCAGTATACCCCAAGTTAGTGTAGATTTTACAACCATAAAACAATTGCCTAGGCCGCAGTCACATGGAGTCCCTGGAAAAATGAATTACCAAAGCGCAGGGCAAGAAAATGACAACAAAAGTGTATCCAAAGCCAAAGGCTATAGAGGGGCTGTTCTTTTCCTGTAATCCCAAGTTTTATATTTCCATTTTTTTTAACATTCTGTAACGGCTTTTTGCAGGACTTGTTGTTCGGCATTATGCGGCAACTGCATTGTTTATAGAGAGACAGCCTCCGGGCTACCTGCTCGACTTTGTGCATTTTTTAATGGATTTCAGGACAAACAAAAAGCCAGAACATGGCGCATTGAAGTGAAGAATTCGCACTCGCGGTCTTAAACGCATGCGGGAGTCGCTGGTTGGAATTGGATGTGGGTGTGGGTGTGGCTGTGGGTATGCTGTCAAGGCTGTTATTTGTTGGGCGAAATGTTGTTAGCAGGCAGGACTTCCGACCCACCTCCATCTCCACCACCCCACATCACCGCCTGTTGTCAATTTGGCCAAAGTGGTTTTTCAGTTGCTTTAGCGTGAAAAAAGGCGAACAATTGAGGACTGCGGGGGCGACTGTGCCGCCTGTCATTGGGTAAGGATGCCTCTGGGTTATTTTTACAGCTCCGGCTCCAGCTACTGCAGATCCTTTGACAAATTGCACTTGTGCGGCGTTTTAATCACTTAGGCCAGAACGCCTACATTGGCCCTATCTAGGCGTCTCATTCTATTTACTTAATGACAGCGAAAAGTGGCAGCCGGCGACGCCTTGAGATTCCCACACGCCTCAGCGCCAAACAGCAAGTGCTCCTCGCATTTGTCATATTTACCTGCAACGCTCCTACTGCACTTTTCGAAAAAAACACCTGAAGAAAATGGGTGAAATTAAGGTATATTTAATGGTTACAAAATAATAAATACTTTATCTAAAAGTAGGTTGGATTTATATAAGACAATGACTTACATGAAGTTTGTAATAATAAATAATAAAATACTCTAAGAACTTTTTTAATCAAAGAAACTACTTCTGATGAGTATAATAAAATCTATTTTATATACCAATATTGACATAGTATTATATATTGACAACATCCTTGATATCCCTTTTCCCCTCTGCAAATCCTTCATCCTGCGCCGCTGGCCTTGCTCCCATTGAAGGAACTCGTAGTTTCATTAGACTAAAACGCCCGGTGCGTGCGAGAGTGTGAGTGTGCCGAGCTTTTGTTTAACGGATTTGCCTTTTCACAGAAATTTGCATTTGCCAGTGCCATTGAAGCGCGAACAATTGAACGGCTATGGCTATGGCTAAGGCTGTGTCCCGAAAAAAAAGAAAATGTATGTCCCGGCCCAGCTGTTCCCTTTTTGCTCTCGTGCCATTGTCCTTTTGTCTAAGCCGTGCGCCAAAAGGCGCGCAAATATCTTTTGATTTCTTTGCCTATTCAATGGGAAAAAAAGACGCACACTTTTGATAGCTTTCATTTATGATTATGCGGGGGCGGGAGCGGGAGCGGGAGCTAGGGGATTGGGTAGTGGGCGTGGCCCTGCCTGTCATCAATCAAAAAGTGCGCAAAATCAAAAAATCATGGAAAGGGATAAAAATTTCCAGCAGCCAAATCAACTCCTTTGACAGATTTTGTACTTTGAAATGGCTGAGTAAAGCTGCTGGGATTTGAATTCTTAAACTTGGTGAGAAATTTGATGAGTATTATGTAACAAAGATCTATATATAATACATTCGATCCTACTTTAAACCATTTTAAATTTTAAATTTGTCAAATTTTAATGTGGTTAGATAGATACCCCACCACATGCACATCTAATTAGCCAATTTTAGCTAAATGCATTCCCACTTCGAGTTGATGGCCAAACTTGTGGCTATTAATCATTCAAAGACAATCATTGACAAATACAAGTTAATTACTTTCCAATTTAGAGTAGAGAGCCAAGCAGGAAGTGTCTGGGATTTATCAAAGACCAAATTAATTGAAAGCAACCCACCCGTACGTATCGAGCAGAGGGCATCCAGGATAAGCCAGGAGCACTGCACTTTAAAATGAAATATATTTCGGGTGCAACTGTGTCCACGGGGAGGGGTTGAGGAAAATCGAGAGACATTGGCAACCGCAGGAATTATATCAACTTTACACGTTATAGCGACATAAGTCAGTCGGCGGATGTGGCAACATATGTCGCTAACTGCCGTTTTTTGGGGTGGCGTCGCATCCCGATCCCAAAGAATCATCGCCCATCAACCATCACCACCCATTGGCACACCCAATCTCCAACCACCAACAGACCGCCCACGCAATCAAATAATTCTGAATCATTAGGTTTTTTACGAAGGGGTGGCTAACGGGCTCTATTGAGACATTTAGCTCAACTGGATGTTCATTATAATCCACTCGGAGCTTTAACGGGGGAAAGTGCACTGAAAGAAATGAATATGTTATAGGCTAATCTTGGATTAATCTTTAACTTAACTTTTATTAAACTTTGGCATAATGATATGGCAGATAAATATTAGAAATAAAGCAACTTCCTTCCTATTTAAGATTTTTGAACAGTAAAAATCTTTTTTTGGTCTTAAAAATGTTCCTTTCAGAAGTTTTTTTGATTAAATTTAGTTTTAAATTATAAAAAGCTAACAAATTCTATCAATTCCAAACGATTTTCATATATAAACTTGTATTGGCCTTTGATCTAATTTTGTTTCCCGTGTAATACCCCTTGGCCGTTGCACGTAAGTCGCGTTTTCCCCAAGGCCACCTGCCTCCGCACTACCCATTGCCCTATTATTAAATGCACTTTTAATCTTGGCTCTCATTCCTCCCCTTCATCCTTTCCCGGCTGATGTTCGCTTTCAATGATTTTTCCATTTTGCACCCTCAAATGGCGAACGATTATCACCCTTAAATGGTACTTTACACACACAAAGAATGCCAGGCATTGAATAGAATTGAACCGGTGCCCGTTCCCCTCCTCTTCCTCCTGCCCTCCAGAGTCTCAAATCAGTTGAACTGCTTGGCAGGACTCGGAACCGGAGAGATTGCTCCTGCAGTCGGGAAACAAAGTAGTCGAGGGTAGAGAGAGAGAGAGAGAGGGATAAGGGGTGTGTGTGTGTGTGTGTGTGCTTTTATAGTCCTGCTGATATCATATGAAAACATTGGTTTGGGACCTCAAGTCGAGTGTGTATATCCCCGGGATTAGTATGCGATGTTTGTTTAACTTTTCGCCGTGATTTCCCATTCCGATCCAAGGGAGCGGTGATGAGCTGGTCAGGCAATAAGCAAGGAATTAGAGAATCGAGTGCGGGAAATGGTTTATTGTAATTAAAATGGGGAGCTATGCTTAGATTAGAGGTAACTGTACACCTGGGGAAATAACCAAACCTAAAACTTTATTTTGTGAATTTTTAACAGCTCCAAACTAGTCCTGGTATAAGTTTCCAAAATGTAAATGCAATTTAATATAAATTATATAAATATTCAAAAATATGTTAGCAATCAAAATACATTTTGTATCCTTAAAATATTTTTTGAATTGTAGTTTTTGATGTTCTGAAAAATGTACATCCCTTTGCAATTAGCCCTTAGTTAGTAAGCCAAATTTTGATTTTCTTTTAGTGCCTGCTGTTAAGGGAGCCTGCCTTGTCATCTTGCATTTTCTCTGATATGACAAACTTTTGTCAAGCCATTAAATGGCAAATTACTCACTCGTTGTCTGGTGTCGATTAAATGAACTCAGCCCAACAGGACAACCCCAAATAAAAATAGAGACAGGAACTCACAACTTACGAGGTTATCGCATCCCTGCCGAGCAGCAGTCACAATTACATGCCGCAGACCCTAAAAACAAGTTGGCATACGAGTGCTCGGATATAAAAATCCTGCCTGATGGCCAAACATAGATGGATGGGAAAGCACTCCCTGCTGTCATATGGATACAGTGGGGGTAAGGCACTCTTAAAGAGCACATAATTGGTCTGTAATCTATTTTTGACAGATTGAATTTCGCTTTTATCTTGATTTTGTTTTGACTGACTCGGTTGTTGGTGCTTCTGCTGCTGCTTTTTCGGGTACTTCTAATTGGGTTGTATACCGCCCAGTGCCACCCCAGACAGGAAGCCCAAAACCCAACCCATCAGATCCCAATCCATTCCAAACCATTTGCAGGTGCCGGGGGTTGCTTGTTGGCTTTGACGTGAAGATTTGCTAAATGCTTCCTGGCTTCTGTCCATGGTTTAATATGATAAGTGGGTTGCTTGTCTTCGACTCGACTATTTCCCGGGTCGACGCTTGGGGAATCGGTTTTGGTTTTGGGTTCACAATTTCGGAATCAGGTTCGGGTTTTGGGTTCTGATTTGGTTTTGGGTTCAGCAACTCCGATTGGTTAAATGCCAATTTATGCGTTGGAAAATTAGTAATTTAAAACCGCAAAGATTCCAACGGTCAGATAAACAGCAGAGTGTTGGAATTATTCATGGCACAGTTCAAGTGTTTTGCATTTATGATAATAAATTACATTAAATTGTTGCCATCTCCAGGGAATTGGCCAAGAACTTTTCATAATTTGACTGTCAACAGAGCAGGAAAAAATGGGGAAAAAGCTAAGCAAATATGAAAAGATTTGGCAAGGGCAATCTTCAATTTCACACTTGGACGCGCCCAGCCTTAAAATTGACTTAAAAATCGGATGAACTCTTAAAAAATATGAAAAATATAATGTTTTTTGATGATTGATGGATGGTTTTTATAGTCGTTACTGATAGAGTGAATGAAAGTCATTCAATATTCTTATAATTCTTATAATTCTTTCAGCTTAATATTCCAAAGATATTTTTATATTTTTGAATTTTTAACTTAAAGAAAGAACATTTGCTATAAGCACGGCTACATATATCCCAAAGCGAAATAAAAACCTTTGGCCCGTTGTTATATAATTACACCCGGCATGCAACCCATTTGCTGGACCGACTCTCAACCCTTGCCAAAGTCAATTCACCGAAATTGTTGAACATGTCGCGTAACCTGTAATTTTCACACCATTTCTCCCCCCCCTGCCGCTGCCTTTACCATACGCTTTTGATGTCATTTTATTCATTTTGCAATTCGTTTTATTCAATATCCAACTGAAATGGGCGTTAACCGAACGTGTGCTTGCGGCAGTTTTGTATAAATATGTAATTCTTTTGACGATATATTAATGGAGAAGGAGGGGAGATCACAGTGGGGTAGCCATTATAGATGGACTGCCATGATACCCACTTGCCGTTAACCAGAAGCGTCAACAAACAGTAACAACAAGCGGACCAAACGAGACGGCGAAAAAGTTTTGTTCAATTTTTTGCAATTAAAATGATTCTGTTATGGATGTGTGTAAAGGAGAGTGTGTGTGAGTGCTTGAGAGTGTGTATGAAGGGGGTGTTAGAGGGTTGGGTGAGTGTGATTGTAATGAAGCCCTTCCGGTGGCTGTCAAGGCAACAACGGATGTGTTCTACCGATCTGGGGAAGTGGGCACTGTTCGGAGTGAAATTTTAGTCAGAATGCACAAGGAAAATGTAGATAATAGGTTGCTTGATTTCTTAATTCTTTGTGATTTTTAGTTTTTAAATCGAATCTTGAAACACTTTCTAGAAATATGCATCTGGAATATGAAACTCTTGTCTCCACAAATGTTGAATGCCTACAAAAAGCATCTATGAATTATTCATTTAATGAAGAAAGAGCTTCCCTTTTATTACTTTTCATTAATATTATTTATAAATGAAGTCATATTTTTTATAATTTTACAAATCATTTTTAGCTGTGTACTGGAATGGGTTGAGCTAGGCTATGCTTCACGTTGATTTGGCCGCAGGCTAAGTGACATTAAATAGCACGAATACCCCGGCGACAATAACAACAGCAGGGGCAAAATCAGCGGGCCAGGAGGTGAGATTTGAAAAGCGTTTTACAACCATTTACACACCGTATCCTGGGCACATCCGTTGGCAATGGATGTGGATGTAGATGCACTGCTCCTCCTGCTTCTGGGTACATCATTGTTGACTTCCTGTTACGCAATGCAGTCGTTTCGCAATCGTCACGGCCTACATAATTTGTAGGTACACTCACTCATTCAGGAGTTGAAAAACCCAGAGAGAGAGACACAATGGAATCGGGCATCGAATAACCAAACAGCGCAGTACAAATTTTTATTGTTATTCAATTGGATTCGAATTTAGCTGGGCGATGGGAGAGCTGAGTTGAGTTGAGTTGAGAGAGTGTTTGCCGTTGTGTGACAGTTGACGCCTCGCAAACAGGACGCTTCCGGTGGCCTCCGTGGCTAGGAGCCGGGTATGTAATTCGAGTGGCAAAGTGCACATAATTAGCCAGCGACTTGCCCCGTTTGCACTTTTCTACACGATTTGGCTGCCAGTTCCCGGTTTCGGTTTGAAATTCGAGTTCCAGGTCGCCGCCATGCGAGACATTGTTTGTGTTATTGCATTAATTTACAACAATATGGCGCGTAATGAGATGGAATTTGATTATGCCATTGTAAGCGCCATTCAGTTCGCTGCAATTGGAAACTAATGCCGTTCCGGCCGTAAGTGCCTGTGTGTCCTAATTACTAGCTAAACGGCTTAGGCTCATCTTGCAATGCGAGAATTTTCAGAAATGATGGGAAAATGCGTTAACTTTTGAAATAGGAAAATATTATGAAAAAACCCTTAAAATATTTTTATATTATATCTGCGAAAACTAAACAACATTTGAATAAGTACTGTTTTGTGGTTTTAATGACGAGAACTAACCAAACTAATCCCTTTTTGGCGAGTTTGGAAAATTTCATTTGTTGGCCAAATTTTGACAGCAAAAAAATTTTCAAAAATTTACATTTTTAAGTGTAAAAGCAGATCAAAAAGATATTTAATTACGAGTTTAATGAGGCATTACATTTCGTATTTTTTATCATTTTATGGCATTATTTTATTCAAAACACTGATTTTTGTTGTTGTATTTGCAATGCTTTTTCTAGTTTTTAAAGTCAGAAAATTGGTTAAAATAATAAGAACAGCAACGTCAATGACTGCTTTATTTTTCCTATTTTTCATATTTTTGATTTATAAATTTATAAAAAAAATGGCCAAGCAATAAAACTTCCAAATTTAAATCCCAATCGGCTTGTCATAAAAGTACAAGCTCTGCGAGCTGGGACATTCCATTTTCGTACCTTTTTGTGGCACTTTTTGGTCTAAATACACTTCAGGGGTTAAAATAAGGATAACGATCATCAGTATTGTTAATTATTAAATATTATATATTTAATATTTATATTTGTTATTTAAATTTGATTGTTCTTAACCATATCCGAACCTGTGTGAAATTCTTTTCTGATATTTGATATCTATTTGGTAAAATATGAAGCATTTTGAAGGACATTAGAGAGAAGAACAGTGACAAGAAAAATAATGGCAACTTGGAATTGAAATTGCTGTCTTTAGTATCTGTCGCCAACCATTTAGGGCCATAAAACATTTGCAGATACACAACTGTCAGTTGATTAAAGCACCTCAATCGCAAATAAAAGCGGCATTACAATAAAAAAAGACGCAACGCTGATGAGCCTATTATGGTGACAGGGATTGCAGGGAGGGGAGCGCCGTCACCCCCTCGACAACTACGCACTAAAACACAAAAACACACACATGGTAAAAAATAAAGTCCATAAAAAAAAGGGACATCGCGATGAGCGAAAAATTGCCCACATTTGCGGGCTGACCAGCGGCCGTAACGACTGAAACAGGAAAAGAGAATAAGTAGGAGGGAGGAAGGAGGAAGGGACAAGGATAATGCGAGGACACTGGGAAGCAACCACAACAACAGACGGCGAATGGGAAATAAAAATAAATGTGCTAAATGGATAATAAAGTACAAAGAGCGACAGGCATAATGTCCAAACTGACACTCCAAAAAACGAACCACAAAAATGGCAATCCTTGTGTATGTGTGCGAGTCCTTTTTTAAGCGTAATTTAACTGTTGTGGCCATTGTACTTAATTGAACTGTCAACGAAAATAGATAAATATAATGGCTAGTGAGGCAGAAAACATGTCGAGTGAAACCCATTGGTCAATTCCATTTATGTGAGTCCTCAGAGCTGTCAAAACTATGCTGTAACCAGTCCTGGATCATAAAACCTAAATGGATTAGTAATGTTATCAATAAAAAACTGAAGTTATCAGAAAAAAGATGTTGAAAAATCTGATATTTATATATACTTTATGAGAGCCAACATTTTGAGTAATAATCAATTTGTTATTTTTTGTATAAAATATTAAAAACAAAACTTATGTAACATTAAAGTATAATTTTTGACTTTATCCCAGACAGATATATTTTTATCTCTTTGCCATCCCTTTTTACATTTTCACTCAAATATATATATATAAACTTATAGTGTGGAAACTGTGCACCAAGTTGCGCCACTTCATGCCCAAAAAGGCTGCAATTAAAATAAGTACCCGGCCGCTTGGCTTCGCCAAATGCTGCCCCACCACACCCACCAGGACCAGCACAAGCAAAAAATCAAAAAGGACTACCAAAACTCTGAAGTATATATACAAAGACCGTACTATATGGTATATAAGCACATTGTGTTCGCAAGCTAATTAAGAAATTACTGCAGGCAAAACAGCGTCTGCCAAAAGCGCCAAAACCAGCCCTCCAAATTGGCCCCCATTTCTCGTTTTTTCATTTTTTGGTGGCTGCCATTTGCAAAAAACCACTTCACATATGAGAACGGAAAATGAAATTAACAAAAAAAGCCTAAAAAGTTACAAAAAAAACGAGAATAAGAAAGGAGAGGAAAAATGAATCGAATATGTGATATGCCTATAAAAATAAAATTTGAAGCGTTTAAAATATTTTGTTGTATTTTCAATATAAAAGAAAAGGGAGAACTCAAAGGGAAATATAAAAATATATGTTAGTAAGTATTAGACATCCAAAACTAGTTTAAAAATGTAATAAAAAAGTGTGATTCTCCCGTTTGTATAACAGTTTAAGATATATTAACTATATATTGATAAAAATGATAACCTATACCCTCTTTTCACTACCCTACAAAAAAAGAGCGATCTCATAATCCAGCCAGCCAGCCACTCACACTGACTCCCCAAATCCGGCCAAACAATTCACTTTACATATGAGCAAATGTGGCCCAAAAGGACCAGCGAAAGGCGAGGCTGCATTCATGGAAAGCAGCCAAAAAGCAACATCCAAACCAAAGTGCTCCTTGTCTGGGGGCAGGCAATTTTTATAATTTCGCTACAATTTTGAGGCATTTTATGAGATGAATTGAAATATATATTTTTTTGGGTTCTTCTCTTTTTTCGGGCACATTTCGCATTCAGCGAAGGAAAGCCATCAAATCCATTCATGCGCTTAAATAAAATGCTCAAGCACTTGACTGCATCCATACAAAAAATGTTGCGGATAGCATCCGATGGCAGAGCGAGGAATGCCAAATAAAAGGTTGCCTAATTTGTTCAGTTGGCTTGCACAACAAAAAAAATCAACAAAACAAAAATAGCAAGGCTGAACCCCTTTCTTTTTTAAGAGAACTTTTAACAGAGGGCCAAATGGACAATGCCACGGTGGTCCCATTGTAGTGAAATTCATTTTGAGGACGAAAATGGAAAGCCTAATCCCCGAGAGCAGCTTTATCCGATCTCGAAATTGGCCAACCTTTTGATTACAAAACTCTCAGAAATAAGCAATCCTTAAAGTGATAACTAAAACCAAGCCTTCGGCCAGCGATTTAACAAACCGGATGAAATACAAGCCAATAAACAAACGATTGCCTGCAAAATAAGCGCATCAAACAGTCATACATTCATTTATTCGTACAATAAAAACATTTTAACGCCCTCCATTTATGCGCAGTCGTGTGAAATGCAACACTCCACACAATCGCCTATAATTATGCACAAATATATCTATATATATATATATACGTTTGGGGCAGATATATCCACTGAATCACAGTTATGCCAACGTTTGGTAATTCAAACTTGCCGCCGTTTGTTAGGCATAGCGAAAAAAGCATTTTATGCATTTTTATTGCCATTTATTTGCCGGCGCACAATTCGCAATTTATTTTTGCAATTTAACACGCGATGCGGTGGCAGAGAATGTAAAACTCGAAGCTCGTAACAGGAATGGCCCAAAGGACCAGGACAGGGCCAGGAAATGGGGGCTCGACGCGACTAAATTGCAACAAACTGCACAATAAATGGCAACTTAAAACGCCTGCAATGCAAGTAAAAACAAAAAGCATCGCCAACATGCATTGCCAGCAATTGTGGCAAAAGCTGTTCTCTTCTGTTCTGTTCTGTTTTTCCGGCATTGTTATAGCCAGGTCTATATGCCTGTATACGAGTATATATATATATATATATATCTATCTGTATATATATATTTGCGTTGGCAATTAAACGCAAATAAGCGCTTGCCGTTGCCTTTCATTCGAAGTCGGAATGGGCGGGATAAATCCATGGAAAAACATTTATATCAAATGCCAGCAAATTGCTATACAACGCATAGATACCAGGATGAGTGCTGGGGCACAAGATTCGATACAGAGACAATATATGTGGACAGATGCTTCCAAAGGTCGACTGCATTCGTACAAAAGGGTTGGGATCTGTGTAAAAACTGGAAGAGAAAAGTTTGCTTTTCGCTTAACTTTAGGTGAGGAGTAGATGATATTGAATACGATTATCAAGAGAACTGCACTCACCACAAATATTATTAAATAATTTTATAATCTTGCTAATAAAAAAGTGAAGTATTAAATACCTCCCTCTATTGCAATTGCAAAAATCTATACAAAAAACCTCCCCTAATGAGCTTAATGCATTAAGTAATAACAACCATTAAGTGTTTGTTTTTTTCTATATGTTTATATAATTTATTAATATCTTTATATATATAATTTGTTATTTGTATATTTATAAGCATTTCATGTCTGTGAATGTGTCTGTGTACGTTTATGAGTTTGGTTTGGTTTCAGTTGAAGTTTGGATTATGTTAACATTCGATTAAAAATATAAATAATTTAACTAATTATTTGGTAATTGCTTGACACACATCTTACGATTAGCACTATACTAACATTAATCGCCATCACCCCAAAATGGAGCTAGGCCTAGCATATTAAACTAAACTTAGTACTTAACTTGACCAGCAATTTAAAGATTCAAAAGCCAAAAACAAAAACGATATATAAAATCAAGCAACCCACACTATACATTTTTCATCGGTTTATATACATGGTGTGGGTGTGTTTCTTTTTTTTAAGCCTAAAACTTATTGAGCAAGAGACGTTTAAATTTACAAGGATCTTGTGTTGTTTATATTTACATGAGGGCCTTTAGGAACAAACTATCATAAAAACTTGAAACCAATTGATGTGGCCTAGCACGGAGTGGAGAAACACGATCTAAAGTTTTTTTTAGAATATTTTTAGATATTTTTGAAAATGAAAATGATCAGTTGGTATAATTCTTGAAAATTATTCCCATCAAAAGAAACCTTTAAATATCCTTTTAATATTTTTAAAGTCATTAACTCTTTAGAATGTTTCCCTCTCCGTGCTGCCACTTGGTTGGATTTGGCTCAGTAGGCCTTTTGGTTGGCAGACTTCTCCGCTTGTCCAGGAGCAGTGACCTCCTTGTGCTGACCACAACTCTCCTTGCTTTCCAGGCAAAGACTGCTCTTTGAGGGCATGGCTGATGATGGGACTGGTGATCCAGATTCCTGCTCCTCATCTGCTTCCACATCGATGGCGGCATCTTCATCATCCAAATGCGTTCGCTCCTGCTCCGAATCGGAATCCATTTCCGCCTCTGCCATAGGCTCGCAGGCTAAGAATGGGCGATGCATGCTGGGCGGCGGCGGCTGCGGCGGATGTGCCATGGGATTGGGTGGCTTCAGCAGCGACATGGGCGCCGACGCCAGGCACCCCACTCCCTATACCAGCGACGAGAGTGGTGGTCGCGGGGGGCTGGTGTTACGTGCCGCCGCATAATACTGCATGGGATGATGATGTGGCGGTGGTGGTGGCACAAATCCAGCTGTGGTCCCATCATGATAAAGGACTGGCACTCGGACCAATCTCTGTGCTGCATGCGCCATGTTGGCCATATTGGCAGCCTCCAGCTCGGCGGCTAGCTGGCGTTTCCACTTATTGCGGCGATTCTGGAACCAGATCTTAACTTGCGTTTCGGTCAAACGCAGAGAGGCAGCCAGACCAGCTCGCTCCGAGGAGCTGAGATATCGTTTTAGATCGAAGGTGGACTCCAGTTGGAAGACCTGAGCCCTTGAGAACACTGTCCTGGTTTTCTTCTTACGCTTGGAATTGCCATCGCCATGTGGCGAGGAGCTATCAGAGGGTCCATCCGTACCATCATCTTCCTCGATGATCTCCTCGCCTTCATCATCCGATTCGTTAGAGCTGCTGGGCAGCAAGTATCCGCCATGTGAGCTGGTCAAGTGCGGATGCTGATGGTGGGCAAGACTGCTGCCGCCTCCGCTGCTGCTGCTGCTGGTGGGCGTGGTGGGCTGGTGTGGATGTGGCTGTTGCTGCTGCTGTGGATGCTGTTGCTGTTGTGGATGCTGTTGCTGCTGCTGCTGCTGATGCTGCTGCTGCGAACCGTGAGGGTGGTACAGGGGGTGGAGTGGGTGGTGTGAGGGCGATTTGCTGGCCTGGTTCGAGTTGGCAGTGGTGTTGCTGTTGTTATTGTTATTATTCGGGCTCATGGAAGTGGGCGATGGCGGATTCTCGGTAGTGTTCGTGGAGGAACTGTCTGCAAGAAGAGAGAGAGAAAAACGGGAGAGAAGGAACTTTAGAAAGAGAGTCTGGCAGAGAGAGCGAGAGCTTAAATTGTATTAGTTGATTTGTCAGTCTCAGTGGGTGTTTTGGGTGGCTGTTGGGGTGGTTCCTCCTAAGGGTTGCTGCTCCAAGATACCGTATATCTATGTATCTGTGTGCAGAGATTTAAGCTGCAACACTTAACCTCACACTTGTCGCCCCACAGTTTTTATTTTTTGTGTCATTCGTGATTGCTGTGGGTTCCTAAAGCGCAGACGCCGAGAGTGTACATATATAGATATATAGATATATATATATATGCATATACCCATACTGATACTTATGGTATAATATAGCATAGCAATCCCTGCTCTGTCTGCGCATTAAATTACCATTTAAAATGGCTGTCAGTCAGCTTGGCCGATTTTCTTTTTATCGAAGCTTTTAGTTTTGATCTCATTTGAAAAGTTTAAATTGCCGTAATTTGCCTTGAATGGATTTCGGGCAGCAGAAAAAAAAAATTAAATCTCTTAATAGCACGCTGACTGCAAAACTTTCATCCGGAAAAACGGGAAAAACTCAACTAGTCGTGAGGATAGATGCCACAGTTGGAGTGCCACGGAAAAGGTGAAGAACTTAAGGCCAATTTACATGAACAAATGCAATTGCAACGACTCTTAATGCCAAAAGGGCCAATTAAACGGGCTTAAACTGCATTCACTCTCCCATATTGCACTTTGCAGTTGAAATTTCCAGTTGCAGTTGCAGTTGCACTCAACGCGAAACATGTCAAACGGTTTGTTCGTAACCCGATACTCGATTACAAATTGCAATTAATTGCAAATGACGATTAAAGCAGTCGTCTCACTTGGCTTCCATTTCCATTTCATTTGCCTGTGTGGGTGAGCTTAAGACATTTGCGTAGTCTGCTTCTGGGGCGAAATTCTTTGAGGCATTAGTCGCTGTCGTGGACTAAACAACTTAGCTTTGAGTCGAATGCGTAGGAATTCCATAGCACTAACGAAAAATCTTCCAAGTTAGAACTATGTTAGCAGATAAAGGGATTCCGAAGAGTGTCTTAATTTTAGTTTAGTGAGCTTTCAAATTTTTACATTTTTTTTTAACTTTCTGCCTTTAACCTAAAGTCTAGGCAAGTATCTCCTTATATCCTAAGTTTTCAATATTAAAATATCACTAGAATTAACCTAGCCTGACTTTTCTTTTAGTGTACTGCGAAGAATGCCTGACACATCGCATTCCTGGTGCAAATAAAAATAAAGGCGGATGCAACGAGTGCTAAGCCGCTGTGGCATGTGCTCAGTGCAGTTCAGTTTCGTTCAGTCGTCTTAATTTGAACCGAGGAAAAGTCGGTAACTCCGTTGGCCATTTTTAATCAACTTACCATGAGTGGGACTGTGGAAGGGCAGACGCTGGGGTGCCCAGGGCCATCCGGGCGGACACAGGGCGGCATAACGACCCGCAAGAGCTCCCCATTGTGAAATGAAACCCAATCTGCAAAGAGGAACGAAAAATATTGATTAATAACGCCATCAATTATGCATTCTGATGATTGCCCGAAAATCAAGACGTGAAAAGAGCCCGCCCATTCCGAGATGCGGGCCAAACTTAAGAGGCCATTAGGCATTCTGGCATTTCGCCGACGGCCAAAAGTTGTTCAGCCTAAGAAAGTTGAAGCATCAAAGTTTTCGGGAGGGCAAGGAGGTAAAATCAAGGAGGCTAGCGACCCTTAACAACCCCATAACTGACAACAGCTGTTAAGAATTTGGCCCACTCAACCCTGCCTTCAGAGGGTATATAGAAAAATGCACTGGAAAAGAAAGTCAGTTAGGATTTATGGAAAAATATCCTTCTTGAAGATTTTTATTTATTTAAAATATAAATTTAATACCCATAACAATTTTATATATTTTCTGATCAACCTACTTTTTTGTAGCATTAAAAATACTTTTTTTCTCTCTCTGCATATATGTGTGTGTTACCTTGTTAACTTCTTGGCTTAAAAGCATCTTTATAAATACATTTTATTTATTTATGCTGGCAAGACGAAACACTTCGTTATAATGTGTTCTATATTCGAATCGAAGAGAGCTCTCTTGGGGTGAGTTTTTCCCTTTCCGATTCGTTTTTTAAGGAACTTGTCAAAACAGGCCGTACGTAATTGGCCAAAGTTGCTTTTGTCTTTCGATTGTGATTGATTCATTACGTTTTTTATTTGTTTGTTTGCCGTCTTTTAAGCTTCTCACGCACCCACTGAACTTTGGTGTTAAATGTAAGCCGCACGAAATGCATTCTCACCGTTCTAAAATGCCAGTTGGCACTATAATGTTTGGGTATGGTATTGCATTTTGTATAGTGGCTACCCCTTGAGCTCGTTTTGCTTTCGCATTTCGCTTTTAACGGGCGGTTGGGCTAAGCTTTTCCCCCCAACAAACTTTGACCCTTTGGGCAGGTGACCCGTGCTCGGACTGTGATTTCTTTTCGAGGGTGTAACTGCACAGCCCAACCAACGCAGACAGCAACTACACCGAGTGTGTGTGTGACATTAACATTTAGTTGACCTCTTTCGCTGCGGCCAAGGGTGCATCAGGTGTGGAAATCAATAGCCATCAGGTGGACAACAGAGAAAGAGAGCTACTGTATCTCTCTCTCTCTTTCAGTAGTAATGATTTTCAATTAAGTTTACTTTCAGCCCTGGGTTGGCAAATTATGAGGAGGACTCTTCAGGGGCTTCCCCAAGTTGCCAGCTCAAATCACTTCTAATGGGCTTCATGTTTACAGCGGCAATTGAGAGAAAGCCGCTTTGGCTTTCGGCTAGTTTCGTGGCAGCCAGAAGCCAGACCCCAAACAGCCACAAAAAGGCGAAAATAAGAAGAACTCCTCTCAAGTTACAAGCAGGCAGAGAAAAATCAAGAGCTAAATAAAGATGTTCGTATTGATTTTAGGAGTAGTTAGTAAGGTCAAATATACTAAGGAATTCCTAGCAGAAATTTAAAAAATTAAGCAATAATCGAATATATAAAAGTCTGAAACGTCATAGGACAAACATTTAGAAGGATATCAAAGTAATTTTGATTAGAAATTGGGGCATTTTTCTTGAATTTATCTCCCGTTTTCTTCCAAGTGTACTCATCATCCCAGCTCCTCGAGGGCAATCAGAAAAAAAAGGACAAAAGAAATTGCCTCAATTACTGGGCTAATTCTGTGCTACGTTGGCCAGCATAACAAATCAAAACAAAAGCTTGTACCTATTTGCTCGACTAATTACGCAAATCAAGAGCTCGACGAGGGTAAATGAAATAAATACAAAATAAATTTGCCCACGGCAAACCGCGGACAGCTGGGTATTCATTTCCACAACCATTTCCATTGGTGTCATTCTGCGGCGGAAGCGGACGGACCGCCATGTTTTAAAAGTGGGTGCGCCTGCCCCATTTTTAGACCCTCATAGACCGCTGCGAACCCCCAATCACCCTCGTATCTGTCAAAAGTGTGGGGCGAATTGGGGGGTTGATGCATTTGTTATTTAGCTTTTAATGAATTGTTTGCGGTTCTCGCTTTGGGCTCCTTTTCCCCCCAGATCACCCATCATAATTTCTCATCTTGAGACGGCTTTTTGTCCAAAAGGAATAAAAGTGGGCTATGCAATTGAGTTGTTTAACATGGCGTTCAACATGGGTTTCTGGATGAGTCTGACTTTCTGCCTTTGATGTCCTCGAGCTATCTGTGGGGTTTTTCTTTGTCCTCAGATCTAAGTGAAAGTTCAAAGTAATGTGTCTGAATGAATGGCTGGGGTTAAGTTAAGCAAATTGCGGCAATGACTGGAATTAAGCAATTCAAACAGAATTACCCGCACTTTTCATATGGCAATTGTCGCATTAACGAAATTGATTTAAATAAATATATAAAAAGATTTAAATGGGAGACCAAGACTGATCTGTGAGTGAGCTCTAACACCGCTTAGGAATCACTCATGCATAAAAGATTTGCACACGCTAATTGGTCCATCCCTTGCGGGATTCCCCTTTTCGAAAAAGAGTCCCCTCTTGTAACCCGGAATTTATTTTACATTTTTGACATTTAGCAGTGCGGGTTTTAGAGGGGTTCTCGACCTGGCCGCAAAAGTAGGCAAAATATTAAACACTCGAATGGGCAGCGAAGTTTGCTTTTGTCACTAAACGGGATTATTAGCAATATTACAGAGCCTGGGGAGCGGCTTAGGATATATCCCACTGTTCTGAGATGGCTAAACTGAATATAACCAAAAATGGTGACATTTGTAAGGAGCATAATATTAGTTTTTCACTTCTTTTTTGTCGAATTACCACCATGGGAAGCCCCGCCAAATGACACGTGACCAGAGAACGGAGAACCAAGGGAAAGTCAAGCCTCAGATCGAGATTGAATGCAACTGATGGTCCGCAGAATATGTTTTGATTAAATTGCGACCATAGAAATTCCCAGCACTCGTCATCTCGATAAGAAATCAAAGGCATTTCACCACTAAACGCTAATCCCCTCAGCGCCGAAAATCAGATACAGATAGAGATATTATGGGATTGGTTAGGTCCTTTACTGCGATTGCAATTGGATTGTAATTACTTCTGGTTTTATGTACCTCTCTCTCACTCTCTGAGTGTGTGTGTGTGTGTGTGTAATTATAATGTCATAGTCTGCTTTTTGTGTCATCATCCTGGGAGAAAAGGACAATGCAGGAGCACCCTTTCCGCTTGCCATCCCATTGTTTCCAGTCCACTCACAAGCATATCGAGTTACACCTCTTGAATGGTTTTTTTTTCCTGCTCTCTCGAACTTTTTTAAGTTCTCCTTCCACCTTCCCACTGAATTGTAATTAAGTACAGACTGAGGAGAAAGCCCAAGGACTAATTAAAAAACGTAAGCGCAACTGTCAAAATAAGTCGAGTTCGGGGAGAAATGCAGCTCAAACTATTAAACGATCACTCAGCAAAATATTTGTATATCCCCGTGGCATTAATCATGCCACCAGATGATCAACTGATAAACCAGTCACATAGGCAGCCACACGTCAGCTGGGCAAGCGCCAAGCAGCAGGAGGCGACACTTCTCGTACGGGACGATGTCCTTAATTGGGGTAACCACGCACAGGGCACACAGACGCAGTCATATAGATATATCAACTATATCCCCTATAGGGACAGTAGTGACCCTCGGCTAACCTGACTAACTTCCCTTATCGAAACGATCAGCGGCTCGGGCACGCGTAAATGAAATGAAAATGATCATTATTAAAAAAAAAAAGACTAAAACGTCTGGGGGAGTCCCCCTCGCTTGAAATGAAAGTGCAACTTATAAATTCTCTTTGTTGTTTTTTAATTCAACACATGCGTTAATCGAGCTGCCTGGAAATTCGATCTCTCATTCGGTATGCAGCATATTAAAAAGCCGGCTAAGTGGGGTTAATATGCCAACGTTTTTTCATATAATATGCAGAAAAAACATAAATGCACTGAGAAAATGAAAAGGAAAGGAAAGTGGAAAGTTCTAAATTGCATTTTAACTTGTCTTTAGCGAAACTGATTTTAAAATTTTCACTGATTTCTTTATATAACTTTATTGTTACAGTGGGAAAATTGGATTGTTAAACATTTTGATTACTAAAGTTAACAATATCTTTAATTATATTTAAAACATTTCTGATTTCTTCCAGTGCATATTATGTATCAATAGGTTGCATTTGCAGGACAAACAGCTGTAAGAACGTTCCTGTTTTGTGGGTCAGTTTGGAGTACCTGAGGGTTCATTCATCGAACGGCTACGTTTTGCATACGATACTGGAGCATTGTCAGTCCGTCAATCAGTCAGTCACTCAGTTACATTAATTCCCAAAACGGTGCATTGAATTTCATCTGGCAAATGTTATGTAACTCGATAGGCTGACCAAATTGCCGAACAAAAAATAATAACCCCGACATTCTCATTTTTTTCTGCATAAATTCGAGGTCATCGAGTGTCCAATGCTACTAAGCACCGTTCCATTGGTTTTATCTGTCTGGAATCGTTAGATCCTTTGTAAGGACAATGGACTGGTACTTTGGCCATTTGCATCTTCACCCACTTAATGTCTCGTGTAACGTTTGCCCAACAATTTTCGGTCTTATCGACCATCTCCCAGCTACTTTGTCTGTCCCTCTCGTCTTTCTGTGCATTTCCTGCGAAGGGATTTGTGTCACCTTCCTTTGTCTTCCCCTAGGACGATTATATAAAATTGGCCCAACCCGAGGGCGAACAAGTGGAATGGCAGCCTCTTTTGGGCTCATTGAGGGAAGGCTTGACTTTTTGGTTTCAGTTCGCCAGCGAACATCCTAATCTGGGTCGCCTACACTGAGCAATAAATGGGTCCACAAAAAATATTCCAGATAGCGATCAGTATTTAGGAGTAACATTTAAGAAAAATTTAGAAATTATAAAAGAAAATTGTAATTTATTTTAAAACTTTTTGGGATTAATGAAAATTGTTCTAAAATACCATCCCTGAAACTGTTTTAACTCTTTTCTTTTAATTATTTTGTTTATAAAACAATTTGTGGGAAATTCATGGAAATTGTTGGGCAAACTTAACAAGGTTTGTAATGATATGCCAATAATTTTAATATCAACAAATCCAGAAACTTTCTAGAAGTACCTTTCTTATTATTCAAAGGTTAATAAAGAGAAAGAAGTAATCACAAATTCGTAGTTTGTCTTCGTTTTACCAACTTTTTAGAAAAACAAATATGACTTTTATCATAAGAATATGACTTTAATTGTATTTACGCAAACTTTACGTCTTGATTTGAGCAAATCCCCATTTCCCATTTAAATAAGGAATATATTATCTCACCTGGACAGCATGGCTGCATCTTGTGGTCCGCCGGCACCTGGCTGTGGCAACTGCGGGATTGGTGTTATAAGACCGGCGGTGCCGTTCTTCTTGGCCGGTTCACTGCGACTCAGGATGCTGGAGATGGAGAAGCTGGTGAATCCATTGGATCCAGTGGTACTCTTTCCGCCTCCGCCGCTGCTCCCATTACTGTCATTGCTGTTGGTGCTTAGGTTGGCCGCTGCCACTGCAGCTGCTGCGGCCGCTGCAGCCGCCGAGGCGCAAGTATTGTTGTGATTTAGGGCCTTGCTGTTGTTGTTGTTCAGGCTATGTCCTTGCAACTCATCGCCTCCATTCCGCTCCGGACTTTTCATCGGCGGACTAAGACGCTCCACATGGGACTGATGTTGTTGTTGCACCTGCAACTGTGGCTGTTGCTGATGTTGGCTAGTGGGCGTGAGGGCGTGTTGCAATAGAGCGGGATGTGTGGCTCCATGGGCGGGATGCAGATGTCCAAAAGTGTGGAGCGCATGATGCAGCGCTACAGGATGACCGCCCAGTGTGCTCAGGTGATGCTGCAGATGATGATGCAACACCGCCGGCGGTACAGCTCCACCGCTGGGGCTGTGATGAAAGTGATTGCCGCCCGATGCGGATGTGGTGGGCGTGCCGGCGGCCGTGTTGGGCGTATTGGAGCGATGGGTAGGCGTGGCCGGTGGTGAACTGCCGTCGGCGGAGCGGGCCGGCGAGCGGGCCAACATCGGACTTTCGCGGGCGGCGGCGCCCAAAGGACTTGGCTCCGGACTGGAGACCACACTGATATCGACTTCAGCCTCGGAGGAAGACATAGTTTATTTTATATTTATATTTTATCTAAGTTCAAATGATTTTGATAAGCACTTTTGGTCTTTAGTTTTCACTTGTGTTTTGGTTCTGTTTAATTTTGTTAGTAATTTTGTGGAAACTTTGTTCACTTTTCAGTTGTGGCACGAAAAACTCGTTAAGGGAAAACGCCGAGCGCTACCGTTGGGAGAAACACGTCTGCACCGTTTGATCAACGTTTCGCATTTAAATTCAAATGCCGCTGTTAACAGACGCACAAGTCCTGAGTTCTGACTACTGAGTGCTTCGTCCTTTCTGTCTCTGTCTCTGTATGTGTATGCGTTTGTGTTTGCGTTTGTGTGTGGGAAAGCGATCGTTTAGTGTTTTTATTGTTTCAGTCTCTGGATTTTTAACCCCCGGTCTCGTGTCCGGAGAGCATGGAACTGTAACTGAGACTGAGGTGGTTGGCTGGCAGCCCTGCAAATTCTTTTGGTCTTTGCGCTAAATGGTTTTCCACACTCTCAAGCCCACGCACACACACTCATACTTACTTTGCGTATATTTTCTACCCCTCTTGGGAGGGTGTGTCCCATGCTCTCATTCTCTATCTCTCTCTCTCTATCTTTCTCTTCGGGTGTAGCCCTCTCTCTTTCACCGCCTGATGCCCTCCCTTTCTGGCCGCTCTTTTCCATTCCATTTGCAGTGTTTGAAATTTCTTTTCGTTTATTTCGACAATTGCACTGCAACCGCATCGACAGACACTTTTCGGATTTTCCTTTTTTTTTTTTGTGCACTTTTTTGTGTGGTGAGAAGGTTGTGGGTGTTTTTCCACCCCCTCAAACGGGAAACACTTGGCATTTGGAACGCATCTAAAGTGGGGGCGCACTCGGCTCGGCTCGCAAAATGGACTCGAATCGCTTCGCTCGGCTGGTGTCTATTGAAATGCCAATATAAAATCAATCAATTGCCACCTAACAGGGGTCAAGTGTTGCTCTGTGGCGCCATTGAAATTTCCCAGCCAGCCAGATGCAAACTTTTTCGACCAGAAAAGTGTTGGCGAAAATGTACCAGTTGATTGCAACTTTGCGGTTAACAGATTGAACGGTTTAGAGTTCCTTTGAAGGAGCTTGTAGGTATATGGTAGCAGTACTAAAGCATAAAGTATTTTAAATATTTATGAAAACCATAAGGACACTCAATTATTTAGAAAAGGATCTACATTTTGTAAGATGTTGGTGATTTAATGAATGTTATCTTAGAAAATGTATATTATATATAGAATGAAGGAAAGAAAATTAAGTTTTTAAGATGCTGACATATATGTGCTTTCATACACAACACTATAAGTAAGTAACAGTAGCAGGTTCTCAAAATCGAATAATATTTAATATTTTTTCTTATATCAAATAATATGTTAAATTTTATTGCATACTTATGTGCATAAACATGACCTTGTCTTAAATGGTATACAAGCTAAGGCAATATGTTTGGTATTTTAATTTAGATTAAATAATAATCTAAATTAATAAAAAGTTAAAATAAATAATATAATATATAAATAGTTTGTTAAGTTATTCAAAGAACTCAACTGCATTCGTATCTCTTCTGTTTTTTAGAATCAGATTCAGAGCTTTTTACCTTATAGCATGTTCCATTCCGGGACGTTCCGTTCTCCAAAGAGAAAACCTCCCCTAAGCGCAGTACAGGCGGCCATTTTTGCCAAGGAACTCTGCAAACTTTGCAGACAGAGAGCATCCGAGACTCAGCGAAAGAGAGAGGGAGAGAAAAAGAGAGAGAGAGGGCAAATTGAATTTTTAAATGCTTTCGCTTTTTATGAGACAACCACGAGGCATTCAAAGAGTGTTGCAAACGATTTGGTCGAAACAAAACAAACATTATGCGAGTCAATTACCCGTCGAGAGAGAGATGGCGAGACTGGCCAAAAAAAGAGAGACAGAGCGCTCTCTTGCTGGGGGCGTGGCCAGCGTAGGGCCAATGGGGTGGCCGCTCCTCAAAACGCCGGAGAACGCTTTTCAGCGACGGGAAAGCAAAATCAAAAAAAAAAGAAAAACAGCAAACAAATGGGTAACAAACATTTGCAGCTCAGACAGCGACGCCGAAATATGCGTAGAAATTCATGCGCAATTACATTTATCCTGTTTAGAAGATTGCTTTTACCAAAGTGCGTCTCCGAGTGCTGAGGGCATGGCACCACCCACCATCCACCGCCTCCTATTTTTCACCCAATTCTCCCCCATAGGAGCTGGTATATGTGCGTATGCGTGTGTTTGTAGAGCCATCACCTGCGTCCGTAACACATTTTTCCGTAATTTCCCTCTGTGCATTGCTTGTTTTTGATTCGTTTTCGTGTAAGACTTTAGAGTGGGAATGGGGGTATAACACAAAAAAAAAAGGACTAGGGGTTGAGACTTCTTCGGGGGTAACAATGGTTTGGGGAATTGGGGGCATTGCCGCAACGTCGACGTTTTCAAAAATAGTGACACTTAGGCACTGCCCCACTTTCATTTCAATCTCAATTCACAAATGGAAATTGCGTTTATTCAGCACCTCCAGGTGATTTCATTTGTTCCTCGCTCTTTTCGCAACGAAATTTCAACTTGGATTTGATTGCATTCATTTGGCCAAATGGAAAGGGGTTAACCAAGGGGTTAGCATTAGGTTACACTGAAAAAGGTACCAAAGTTTAAATGTGTTTTTATGGATTTTATCATATTACAGGACCTCTTAAGACTAAGACTAATAAGTTTTTGACCAAATAAAGATATATGTATATTAGAAAGGTAATTGATTTACAGTTCCCAAAAATATTTCTTATATGTGTATTGTAAAAGAGGGAATGAGAGGGCAAATCCCATTAATCTCAATGCCTGACCGCTGGCCAAGGCAAGCCACAAAAATTCGGAAAAGCTCCTTTGCTTGGTAACATTTAAAAGAAATAACAAACTGTTCAACTGTCGGACAAAACGATTTCTACAACAAATTGCACTGCAATAAAAGAGCTAAAGCTGCAATGGAAAGAGACGGGGAGACCAGCACGGAAAGAGAGGGAGCAAGAGCCTCTGGCAGTGTGTGTGTGTGTGTACAAGTGAGTGAAAGGAGGAGAAAGCAGGAGAGAGTGGTTGAGCAGGAGGTCTAATTGACGTACGAGCAAAGTGGGAGTTGCAATTTTCATTGACTCCACTTTAGGTTGCACACTCACACCAACAAAAACACATCCACAAGCACACAGACAGAAAAGTTTTGCATGGGAAAGAGAGGGAAACAGTGGCAGTGAGAGAGATGGGTACACTAGCTGGGCTTAGCTTGCTCGACTTAACTGCAATTAATTTGGCAATTGAAGGTAGTCGAACAAAAACTAACATTATTCCTGTTAAATTCCCGAGACACACTCCATTTCAATTTTGTAATTTTCCGAATTTCGATTTTCCAACTCACACACACCCACACACCCACACACACACACAAACACATTAGGCAAATGGAGAACGCTTTTGTCTGTCTGTCTGTTGTAGCATTCTGTATAATAGGCAGAAAGCATGGCAAAACAATAAACGTGGAGAACGTGAAATGGAATGGTTAAAAGCAAATGGAGTTGTAGTCCCCGATCCTTGGTGAATCCCCCTACCCCTTTTCCCCTATACATGCTTACCTATATATATATATATATATATATAGAGCATAACATAGCTATACTATGCTGACCACCCATCACATCATTATCATCCTTTCGGCTATTTGCGGCTATTAGTCAGCCAAATTTGTGTGACGCGCTTTTCCTTCGCTTTTGGGGGCTTGGCTTTTGTCTTCTTTCAGAATGCAAACAATGGCCAGAATGAGAGTATAAAAGACCGCACACGCAAACCCCCAAAACCCATCGATCCACCCTCTCACACTCCTTGAGTCCCATTGAAAAGGAACCCAACCAACCCCACAGTGCTCGTAAATAACGCTTTAGACTTTGATTTAAATAAATTGTATTGCGAACGGTAATATTTTATGATTTCAACAGTTCAACAGTTTTCGTTTTCGTTTATGTTCCGATTTCCTTGTGCTTTACTTATGTACTTATATATATTATGTATTACCTAACTTCCATGCCCTTTCTCTGATATATCCTTTCTACCTTCGCTGATTGAGTGCCATTCTTGGGCGCATAAATTTAGCAAGATTATCATCAGTAAAATCGAAAATAAAAATTAAACAATAAAATTCATGAAAATAATTTTAATTCTTCATAACAATATCAAATAACTTCAAAACCAAAAAGACAAAAATTAAAAATAATTTTTCTTTGGTGAAACCTCCATTTTCTGATAACCATATTGGTTATTTTGCTAGAACAATATTTTGTGTAAATTATAGGGTTATTATGATTTTCCCTACACGATTTGGACAGTGATGATAATAATAATTCGGGATTTTATTTCAATTCGTTATGATTAATGGGAGAATCCTTTCCCTCCCAATGCAGTCAAAACAACCTATTTTCCCCCATTTGAGTTTCCTCAAATTACTAATTAAACCGACAAGTGCGGATGAAAGCATTTACGTTTTAATTTTAAACAATTATTTTGTATTATCTACAATCGAGAGACCGACATCGAGCCGGACCAACCGAGCAAACACAGGCAACGCCGCCAACCGTATAAAATTACCAATTTGCAGCAGCAATCGGACCGAAGGAATGGCGGAGTCGTACGGGGGGAGAATTTGCAGTAAGCATCCTCACAGAGGCAGCCAAAAATGTGGCATGGGAAGATACAGTTGAATTGGTAGAATGAAGGGGATACAACGAGCCAGCTACGATTGTTGGCCAAATTGAATCCTTTTTGCCGGCAATCCTTAATCCATGAGTAAAATCAATGGCCAAGGAGTGGTTTTAGCCCCTGAGCCCAAAGGCAGCCCATGAATTTGATATGCCTGTGTCGCCAGCGCAGCGTTGCAAAATTGACAGCTAAATTATTGGTTTAATTTGTTCAGCCCAAAGGGGGCAATAAAGGAACAAAACAAGATATTCTGAGTTACAGGTTCGGGGTATATGTAGCCAAATTAAAGAAGTCATTAAACTTAAAGGTTAAAGGATGAGGAAGTTTTTAAGAAAAGTGTGGTAAACTGAATATATAACTTATAAAGTTCCATAATTAGATCTTTTAATGAATATGAAAGAACAGCCTTAAAAAAGCACGCATACGCCACGTACTCCTTGAAATTAGCATAAATCAGCCATCTTGTCAGATCTTCCTATCAAACGTAGGCAGTTGAATAGACGAACCCTTATGTCTTACGATCAGCACCCCTTTGTGATTGCCCGACAGAATAATTCGCCGGCAAAAGGATCGCAAAGGATCGCACTTGAAAGACGATCGCGGATTAATGCGATTAACTTACAGTTGATTTCAAGGAGC